CAACCGTGTCCTGGGGGCATCAAAAGAAGGGTGACCAGCAGGTAGAGGGAGGGGATTCTCCGCCTCTGCTCTGCTCTTGTGAGACCGGAGTACTGTGTCCAGCTCTGGAGTCCTCAGCACAGGAAGGACATGGACCTGATGGAGCGAGTCCAGAGGAGGCCACAAAGATGGTCAGAGGGTTGGAGCACCTCCTGGAGGAGGACAGGCTGAAAGAGTTGGGGGTGTTCATCCTGGAGAAGAGAAGGCTCTGGCTGGACCTTGTAGCAGCCTTCCAGTGCTGAGAGGGGGCTACAGGAGAGATGGGGGGGGCTCTGGATTGGGGAGTGGAATGATAGGACGAGGGGTAATGGCTTTAAGCTGGAAGAGGGCAGATTATGATTAGATATTGGGAAGAAATGTTTTCCTGTGCGGGAGGTGAGGCAGTGGCCCAGGTTGCTCAGCGAAGCTGTGGATGCCCCATCCCTGGAGGGGTTCAAGGCCAGGCTGGATGAGGCTTTGAGCAACCTGGGCTAGTGGGAGGTGTCCCTGCCCATGGCAGGGGGTGGAACTGGGTGGTCTTTAAGGTTCCTTCCAACCCAAACCATTCTGTGGTTCTGTAAATAGTAGTTTTCTCTCTGTGTTCCAGGCAAAGCGATGAAAAAGTGGGTTGAATCAATCACAAAGATAATCAACCGGAAAAAGCAGGCACAAGCCATTGGACCAAGTCACAACATTACTTTTGAGAGCCCACCTCCGGCAATTGAATGGCACATTAGCAAACCAGGACACACAGAGACTTTTGACTTGCTCACTTTGCATCCAATAGAGATTGCTCGACAGCTCACTTTACTTGAGTCAGATTTTTACAGGTAACTTTCCTCCATTGAAAAACACATGACACAAACCAAAATATTCTCCAGCATGAAATTGTTTCTGCGGGCCCCTGCTGTGAAGCCCCACGGTAGGTCAAGGGACTTTACCAATGCTGTATATTAATTGCTATTTTTTCAGAAAAAAAATTCTAAAAACCAGTATTTGTCTTATCCTCCCCAAGTTAGCATGCAGTACATGTTAATACTGTTAATTGCATTGTGTTACAGGTTTCTCTTGATATTTTTTGAGTATATCAGCCTTTGAGAAGTACGAACACTAATTAAATCAGTTTTCTTCATATCCTAGTTTGTGACGCAAATTATGGACCCTGTCAGATCTCACCAGCTGTCCATGAGAGGTTGTTCAGGCATTGGAAGCTCACATTTTATTATGGTGAATGAGATGTAGACTTCATTTAGATGAACAGAGGTGGTTAATGGTCACATAAATCAAGAAATATTTACACACTAAGAAAGAAAAGTAGAAATACTAGTCTCTTAGTGATGTGGGGAGCCTGACATTATAGAGGTGATATGTTCTGAATTTATTTCCAAATATTAATTTTAAATTCACTGGAAATTAAGAGGTTTTGGGAAAACAATATCTTCTTTCCTGCTTTTAATTACATTTTTTGATACATGCATCTACTTTTCTAGAGCTGTGCAGCCATCTGAACTAGTCGGAAGTGTGTGGACAAAGGAAGATAAAGAAATTAATTCTCCCAACCTTCTCAAAATGATAAGGCATACAACTAACCTCACTCTGTGGTTTGAAAAGTAAGTGATTTTCCTGAATCTGCACCTACTCCATTTCTGGACATTCGCAGTCCATTCAGAAGTATACTGTGAAAAATTCTGTTCTGGGAGAATTCCAGGTTTAAGTTGTGTTTAGGTACTACAACTGGTCCCTGTGAGAATTTTACCATAATGATCTCATCTTTTTATTCTCAGAATATTTTAAAACGTTTATTCTTTAAACATTTTCAGAACTGGGTCAAGTAATTTGATAAACTTTCCATATTTGTTTGTTACAACTTAGTATTTGATTTTGGAAAACTCATCAACAGTTTAATACAAAATCAAATGTCCTTGTGTATTTAGATGCATTGTAGAAACAGAAAACCTAGAGGAAAGAGTAATTGTAGTGAGCCGGATAATTGAGATCCTGCAAGTTTTTCAAGAGCTAAACAACTTCAATGGTGTCCTTGAGATTGTCAGTGCTATGAACTCCGCAGCAGTGTATAGGCTGGATCACACATTTGAGGTACAGTGAAATGTTTTCCATTTTTAGTATGGAAGTGTAATGCAGTGCACGTTAAGCTACCCAAAAAACATGTCTTTTCAGTAAGCATCTCCTTCAAAGAAGGAACAAGGAAGGTAAATCTATCCCAAAATGAATCAATTGGGGTGTAGTAGAGAGAGGAGGGTTTTTACTTGGTTTCAGAAGCAAGAAATCAGTCCCCACTTAAAGGCAGAAAAAGGTAGCAAGATCCTGAGATGGTGAGGCACTGGTCACTGGCTTAAATGTCACTGGGACACCATTACTCTCAGTATTGTTGCTGGGCAACAAACAACCCGTTTCATCTCTCTTTTTTAGCAAATTCCAAGTCGCCAAAAGAAGATTTTAGAAGAAGCTTATGAGCTGAGTGAGGATCATTATAAGAAATACTTGGCAAAACTCAGGTCCATTAATCCTCCTTGTGTGCCTTTTTTTGGTAAGTATGTGTGTTTTAAATGAGCTGTATCACGCATAAACATTTGGGAAGTATTGAGTTAGAACACTAAACAGAGTATGAACAATAGTGACAAGTTGGTTTTAACTGGACAGTTGGGTTTGAATTTAAGGTGCCCATACATTAAGTGCAGATACGTGAATAAAAAATTAAAGTGACTATGAACTGCAGTTGCTATTTACAGTAAAAATAATTGTATCTCCCATATCTTATTTATATATTTACTCATTTTTACTTTGAACGTGGTTTGAACTGTGTTGTTACCATAAATACCTTAAATGGAAGACAGTCACATTAGAAATATTGTTGTCATTGACTAATGGCAAAAGAAGGAACCACTTCCCTATCAAGAGTTCAAAGAATTATAGCTAGAGTTTTAATTAGTATAGTTTCTTGTAACTAGAGTTTTGTTTGTATTAAAAAAGTCTTGTTCTATAAAAACACAGTTTGGGAAGGAAGCCTCTTCTTTATCATCACATTTTACAGTTCTTCTTTCAAGTACATTGCTTGGAATTTCTGACATCTAGCAAACTGTGACATTAAGCATTCCTATTCTTTCTTGGATGTTTGCTGCAGATCAGTTCCAAATCTGGACATTGCATTTGTACAGTGTAAGCTTCAGGCCAAAACTGAAAGAAAATATACTTGATGGCTTTTTTGGCCTTTTACATATTGGGGAAAGATATACTCCAGAGCTCTGCAAAGAAAGATAAGATCGACTAAGAAACCTTCTGTCCTGCTTCAAAGATGAGCAGAAGTTAGCAGGATCACATGTTAATAGCTTCAATTATTTCTCTCAAGTTATACTTCAAAGAGTCCTAATGACAGTTCCAGATATTTTGTCTTTGGACTTGGGAGCAGTCTTTTCTTTCTAATCTTCAAATGCGATTATAAAGCCAGGAGTGGAGAGTAGAACAGAAGAATAAAATGTGAAAATATTTTTTTTTAGCTTAGCTGATGTCTCTAATGGTGTAGAACTGAATTGAGGCAGAACAGTTGAGAGAAAGCACTTGAGTTCAGTCTACTCTTGTCTTGCAAAATACTAGTAGTGTTCAGTTGTGTGAACTTCCTAAACAATAGCAAGATGCATAGACTCTGAGATTTGGATGCAAAAAAGGCAGCTTTCTGGAAAAGGCATGTTAAAATATTTAAAATTTTGCCCATATTTTAAAATTAGGTGTGATTCTCTTATCAACCTTAACAGAATCTTTTTAAGCGATCAGAGCGCACAAATTAAATTCTTCAAGAATTCTTTGTATCCCAGACATGTGACTTCCTCCTTGTTTTGTACTATATGTTGAGAACCTCTTCTGTGTGCTCTTTAGGAATTTACTTAACTAACATTTTGAAAACAGAAGAAGGCAACCCTGAATTTCTAAAGCGACATGGAAAAGAGCTTATAAACTTCAGCAAGAGAAGAAAGGTAGCTGAAATAACAGGAGAGATACAGCAGTACCAGAATCAACCATATTGTTTAAGAGTGGAATTTGACATCAGGGTAAGTGGCATTATTCCTGTGAATCAGACCGAATCAGAGACAGACAGAAGACTTGGCATAAAATCTGTCTCAGGTCTGACAGTAAGAAAAGGCAAAAAAGCTCAATGCTTGCAGTTTGGTAGGTTTTGAGTTGTTGTTTTCTTTTTTTTCTCCAGCTTTTGGGATGTTGGTAGATAGATTGTCTTACTGATCAGTGTTAAACAGGAGCAGAAGCTACCAGATTTTCACTGTCCTTCACTCAGTTGCATTTATTTGTCCAGTGAGCCCAGTTGTCTTTTTCCTCCTCTGTTCCACTGTCTATATGTTTCCTGATAGCACTGCATTTACATCATGTGTTGTGGGTGGTGACGCTCACATTTGTCTTTCTCCTGGCATTTGATCTCCTTGGTCTCTAAGCAGTTCTCTCTCTGTTTGCTTTCTTTTCTTCCTTTTCTTTTTGGGTTTGTGTTGGTTTTTTTTTTATTTAATATTGTTTGAGCTATATACTTTCACAGAGTTATAGGACAGGTTGTCTGAAGAGATTCTGCAGGATTTTCTTCTGTTATTTATTCTCCTCAAGGTTTGACAGAATGCATTGTGAGAGCAGTCTTCCCTCCATCAGTGTAAAGATGGTCTACATACAGCTTCTTCTGAAGGTGTTTAAGCTAACCTGGTCTGACTTTTGCACTGCAGAAAGTATTTAGGGTGCTTGCACAGTTGGTTTTCAAGCCAAGTGTAGCAGTAGCAATGCTGAGCAAAGGGCTAGCAACAAACAGACTGAATAAATTAAAAATCTATCATTGCTTCTGACTCCAGCATTGTCTCTCTTCTCTGAACAGTTGTGATCATTTGTGCAGTAGAAACAAGCAATACTAAGCTACTAAGAAGTAGCTTAGCTGACAAGCTTTCTACCTTCTTGTATTTCAGAAATTTTTTGAAAACCTGAATCCAATGGGAAACAGCATGGAGACAGAATTTACAGATTATCTGTTCAACAAGTCACTAGAGATAGAGCCACGAAATGTCAAGCCTCCACCAAGATTTGTTAGTATTCAATTTTTTTTTTTTTCCAAAAAATGCTTACATTTGTCTTAGACAGCAGAAATAATTTTAGATCTCTTAACTTCATAAATACAAAGCTACATTTAGGTGATCTTGTGGCCTTTTGATTCCATTTGACATTATCTTTTTTGTCATTTCAGCCCAAAAAATACAGCTATCCTCTCAAGTCCCCAGGTGTTCGTCCCTCTAATCCAAGGCCAGGTACCATGAGACATCCCACACCCCTACAACAGGAGCCAAGGAAAATAAGTTACAGCCGCATCCCAGAGAGTGAGACTGAAACTACAGCATCTGCACCAAACTCTCCCCGAACACCTTTGACCCCTCCCCCTGCTTCTGCTACTTCAAGTACTACAGATGCCTGCAGTGTGTTCGACTCAGATCCCTCAAGTCCTTTTCATGCAAGTAGGTGCTAATAGATACTCTACCAAGAACGTGCGTATTAGATTTTGTGGTGTTAAACAGGTGAAATCATGTTTCGTCTTCTAAACTGACTGTAGAAATCATTGCTCTTGTCTCTTGGCAGCAGCAAAAACTTTCGTTGTGTTTTATTCCTTTTTTTTAAGTAAGTTTTTATTCTAAAGGGACAAACTGAACAGAATTAGGTATGCTACATGTCTTTGTAGAAACTGTTAAAACAGAAGACAGAGCTATATCTAGTGCCCGTATATGTCCCAAACATTTGTACGATTTGCCATCATATATGTGGTGAAAGTATTCAGTGAGTATCTGTTTGATGGTGAACAATGAGAATAAAAATTAATATTTTGTGGGTGCCTTATTCTGCTGTCTGCCATTCCAAATTGGTTTCAGTGCACATGGATGGTTTTCCTGCAGAACTTAACATTGGTATTTCCTTGCTTTAAATCCATCAGGACCCATTCACACCTATTTTTCTTTTGTCCTCACCAGCGTACTAAAGAGCTTATACTTTATGGTGTGCTTTCAGTGATTTCTAATGGACATAGCCTCCTTTCATAGATGAGGGCTTTCAAAGGAAGTACAAGGTTAGTCCTACATTCAGCTGGTTGCCACAAGGAGGTGAAATGCCCTGCTAAAAGCAGAAGCTGCTTAGCAAAGCAGTGACATTGCTGAGTGTCTAAGCCAGGTCTCTGGAGTACCTCTTCAGAAGAAGATATTTCTTCATTGCTGGGTTGTCCCATCGACTGCAGGTTCAGGAGATTGGTTTAGTGCTCTTGTGATGCTAGAACAACTTTCTGGTGTGGTTTTAGTCTTGAGGATTACTTAATGTTCAGGAACTGATGGCCACAGAGATGATTGTGGCTCAGCAAAGCAGTTTGTGTGGAAGCTGCAAGTTAGAGGGTTGTTTTGTTGTCTTTCTTTAACACCTTGACTCATGCTGCTTATTTTTTTATGTCTGCTAGGATCTGCTTCTGTGTCATCCATAAACTTTACCAAAAATTCAGATGAAGCTCATGTCCCTCCTCCAGTTCCTCCACGAAGACGACCAGAGTCTGCCCCAGCTGAATCCTCCCCCTCAAAAGTAAGTAAGGAGAAAAAAGGGCATCTTATCTGGGAGGGAAGGATATGATAGAAAAGTAACTCTTAAAGATAGTAGACGTATTTTTGAAGAACTGTATGTGAAAGAGTAAGCAGACATGTATTGCAAGCCTTCACAGCTCTGCCTCATTATGTCCTGATCCCTAATGAATTAAAATTATCAGATGGCACATAAATCTAGCGTTAGAAATGTCTCTTGTCTACTGATCCACTATGCTCAGGCCCTCACATTGACTGTGAGAGCTTGAGGCTTCTGGCAGGTGTTTCCATCTGCAGTAATTGTCCCAGAGTATCATTTTGGGGTGTATGAGCAAAGAACTGAAAAATAGTAATGATGGAAAGCGATGTACACGCTTCAGTCCTCTGAAAAGGTTCATTAGAAAATTTGACCCTGGTGCTCAATGCTTTCTTTTCTTTCTTGATTACCTGTCCTGTCTGCCTGCCTACTTGAGCCATTGCTCCATTTTCCTTTTGCATTTGTCTGGCATTTGGGATCTGATCCAGCCTCTGTTGCAGACAGTGTCAAATCTCTCTCGATTTCAGTGGGAGCTGGTTTGTGACTTCAGAGAATTGGGTGGGATTTGCTTTGAAGAAGGCTTATATATGGCTCTTCAGCAAGTTGTTCCAAACTACAGGTGACTATGCTGTTAGCCAGCAGAGTTTAACACATCACGTTCCTACTAAAATGTCATTGTACATGTGATAGGGTGTTGGAGACCAATTACCCGGTCCCTGTGGTCTGCAGCTGGGGAACTGTTAACTTCAGTAATTGTGACTACTTAATTCCATCTTCTGAGCATGGTTTATTTTTTTCCCCTGTTCAACATTATCTGCCTCTCGCTTTTCCTCATTTTCTTGGAGAAATAGCTGGTGTTATTACCCACCCCAAGTGCTTGTTACTGGGGAGGTGGTGGAAGATATCCAGACCTACCCAGCAAGCAGACCTGGAACTAGCATGGAAATTGTTGCTTTGACCATTCTTTGCTTTGCCTTTGTCCCTTTCTGTGCATCTTCATTCCTTCCATCCTTGGCTGTTAACTCATGTGTTGATATGCCCCTACTCTCCCCCACATCCAGTCTCTGTCTTTTCTGTCTGCATCACTCTGAGAAACATGTTTTTCAGGCACCGCCACTCCCTTTTGCTTCCTTAGTCCCCATCTTCAGTCTGCACCTGCTTGCTGTGCCTCCATTTTAACTGGATAAGAGCAATCTGCAGGGCAGGAGCTCTGCTTCCATTTCACAGCAGGATCCTCTTTACTGCCACTCTAAAATTTGATTGAATGAAATGTTTGTGTACCTCAGATTACTTCTGCGCACCTGGACAGCCCACCAGCAATCCCTCCTAGGCAACCAACCTCTAAAGTGTATTCACCAAGGTACTCAGTGCCTGACCGGACCTGCATCTCTGACCCCCCTGAAAGCCCTCCTGTGTTACCACCACGAGAACCTGTGCGAACTCCAGATGTTTTCTCTAGCTCACCGCTACACCTCCAACCTCCACCATTGGGGAGAAAAAGCGAACTTGGTAACACCTTTTTCCCAAACAGTCCGTCTCCATTTACTCCCCCTCCCCCTCAGACACCTTCTCCACATGTAGCACGGAGGCATCTTCCATCACCACCTTTGATACCACAAGATGTGGACCTCCATTCTGTTGCTGGACCACCTGTTCCTCCACGACAAAGCACTTCTCAACATATCCCAAAGCTTCCTCCAAAAACTTACAAAAGGGAGCACACACACCCATCGATGCATCGAGATGGACCACCGTTGCTGGAGAATGCCCATTCTTCCTGAACTATCCCTTGCGCTGGGAGTCACATTTTCCTGGTGCTACGTCTGTTGCTGGCAATGGATGCACTGAATCTGGTGGTGCCAAGGAGTTGGGATGTGTATGCCAAACACTAAAAACTCTCCAGTATATTGGAAATGCAGTGTACAGAAATGGAATTGCAAAATAGACATTCTCATGGAAAAACCAGTTCACTTGCTGTTCTTGTTTTAGTATGCAGGACATTGTTCTAAAGTAATTGGACAACTGATTGTACCAGAAAACAGACTTGAGGGACTTCTTAGGCCAATGAGCAGAGACCGTGTTTGTGTAATGATCAATAGTGTCCAGTACAGGAAGGAAAACAGTCTTGTATCCATCAGTTCCATACAGTGGCAAAGTATTTGGAATGAAAACATTATGCACTTTTTTTAAATCTCAAACAAGGGAACTTTTTATCCTTCTTAATCTTCCTTTGCTTTACTCCCTGCTTTAAAATACCTTCCTAAAATTATGAGAGGGACTGTGAGGAAGATCTGTGGTACCTACCCAAGCTAGATTTAAGGCAAAGCACTGTATTGTGGTCCTGTTTACAAGTTGTTACAATGAGTAGTAGGGGGTACCTAGGCTTCACCAAAGAGGTACTTTATTATTATTTTCTGAAATATTATGGTGCCAGTTCAAAAATAAATTTTTGCCAGAAAGCATAATGTCTAATTATTGCTTTCTTTGGATAGAGCAGATGAGAGTCCTACATCATTAAGATGACAGCGAATTTTTTCTTAAAAGCAGCACTATCATCCGAAGTAAATAAACTACTATATTTAGAAGACTGTTAATCTCTGATAGGTTATGTCACGTTCTTTCTAAGATTTACTGATAATCCATTCCATGGCTAGTAGCTATTCTTTTTCAGTCATGCCATGAAAACAGTGACTTGTGAAAAGGAGCACTCACTGGTCAACTTCCATAGCTGTTGTCATGTTTTACTAACAATAGATTAATCAGCATCCATAGAATTGCCTTGCAGTTGCATAAATCATGTGTATATAGTGAACATTGCATAAATATAATTGCAGATTGTTTTTAATTTAATTGAAATAAAGATACAGATATGTTTGGCTGACATACGTTAAATTATTACATGGACAACCGTACAACTCAGTGTTTCAGTTAAGCACTGGAGGGGATGGAAGCATACGTGGTACATATTTTTCCTAGTTCAGTGTATGTATTTTAGTAATAAGAGTCTAAAGAGAAGGCAGTTTTGGCATGTGTTACAAAGTAATGGTTTAGTAATATTTGAAAAGCTGGTTTTCTAATTATAGTTAATTATTATACATTATAAAACTTCTCACACCTCCTATGTGACACTTGTTAGAAAAATTCAAACTTACATTTTTCTTTTCAGTAGCTTTCTATGTCAGAAATACACATGACGGAACATGTACAGGTGTAAGTATCGTGACATGGATTATCCATAAACCTGTGTACTGCTCTTCAACTCTAGACAGTACTGTGACAGTGATGCATGGCAGTTTTTGATGAAAAGAAGCTCTATAATCTCCACTACAGTATGTATGTGAAGCATACAGTGTCTTCGTCTTCAGTTAATATAGCTCATGGGTCAAAGTCAAATTCTGTCACTTTTCCCCTTTGGAAGAATACATTTCAGTGTCTTGGAAAGCTGTGTCATTAGAGATGATGTTAATTGAATGAAATCACCTTTTTTGTTTAAATGCTTTCTGCAATGCCATTGATCAGTGCCCCATGATCCTTTAGTGTGGTCATTACATTTCAGAAAGTGTGTTCTGATTTCATCAACAAGAATGGCAGTTTTCGTCATAGTCAAATGTTGAAATTTGTTGGTTGTATTCCTTCTTTGATGTCTTTAACAAGGTTGTTTTGAAACATTTTCCTGGCAAAAGAAGAGAAAGTGAAGATCTCTAAACCTTCGCTTCAGAGAAGAACATTATATGGGAGCTTTGTAAAAGCTCTCAGGCTACAGGAGGCATAGTTTAGGTTATCAGTTCCTTGGATATAAACTCTCTGATGGGCATACTGTTGGCAATGTAATGTAAATTATTAGCTCATCAGTGGATAACCAGAGAAAACTCCTGAAGTTTAGACTTTCTTATCTGTATCTCTTCTGTACGCTCTTGTCTGTGCTGTTTTGCAGCCAAGGCAGACCAGGCAGAAGGAATGATCCAGTGGTTAGGTTGCTCAGCTAGAACGAGAGACCTCGCGTGGACCCTGCTAATCAACAGATTTCTTGAATGTCGGTAGGTTTCTGTCTCCTTTTGTGAAATTGGGAATGCTGTTTCACATCTTTGTGGTTGAGGATAAAAGTCCTTTACTGGTGAGGTAGTTGGACAACAGGTGATAACAGTCGCCATGCAAGAATCTAACTTAAACATTCTTTGAAGCCCAGCAGAATGGGTCAGTCATACAGTGCACAAATCGTGGCATTGACTCAGCTGCAAACAGGAAAGACAGGGTGAGAATCAAACCAGTTGCGTTTAGAATAGGAGATTCGAGTACAACTGCTAAGCCAGTGGTTTGTCTAATGACAGCTTTATTTGTGTTAATAATTAATCTGGAATTACTTCTTTTTTGGCCCATGTTTGCATTAGCGACAATACTTGCCACATGGAAAAAGAAATTATTTTAATGATGCCGTCTGTCTCCTTGGTAAAATGACCCTGGATGGTCTAGTGTGGACTGGGATGGTGTTGTGGCCTGGACAATGAAACATGCTTGTGTGGAGGTTAGGTAAATTGCTGTATTACTCTAGAGTGCTGATGTATGGCTAAAAGTCAGCCTAAACAACTGCAGGGTTATAGACGTCAGCAGAAATTTATAGGTACGGTATTTAACAATTTGTGCTGTTTCACCTCAAGGTTTCTACTTTATATGTAGCCTAGTGCAACAGTGGAGCATGTGTTAGCTCAGAACAACCCTCTGGGAATTTGGAAGTGCTAGGATTCCAAGTGCGAGGTCCTGCACCTGGATCAGGGCAACCCCTAGTATCCATACAGGCTGGGGAGTGAAGGGATCGAGAGTAGCCCTGCAGAGAAAAACTTGGGGGTACTGGTGGATGAGAAGCCGGATGTGAGCCAGCAGTGTGTGTTCCCAGCTCAGAAAGCCAACCATGTCCTGGACTGCATTAAAAGAAGCGTGGTCAGCAGGTGAAGGAAGGTGATTCTGCCCCTCTGCTCTGGTGAGACCCCCACCTGCAGTACTGCGTCCAGCTCTGGAGTCCTCAGCACAAGAAAGACACGGGCCAGTTGGAGCAGGTCCAGAGGAGGCCACGAGAATGATCAGTGGGCTGGAGGACCTCCCCTATGAGGACAGGCTGAGAGACTTGGGATTGTTCAGCCTGGAGAAGAGAAGGCTCCGAGGAGAGGCCTAATTGCAGCCTTTCAATATTTAAAGGGGGCAAAGATGGAGACAAACGTTTTAGTAGGGCCTGTTGTGACAGGACAAAGGGTAATGGTTTTAAACTGAAATAGGATCGATTTAGATTGGACCTAAGGAAGACTTTTTTTTATGCTGAGGGTGGTGAGACACTGGCACAGGTTGTCCAGAGAGGTTGTAGATGCCTCATCACTGGAAACATTCAAGGTCAGGCTGGACAGGGTACTGAGCAAAATGATCTTGTTAAAGATGTTGCTGCTGAGGGGTTGGTTGGACTCAATGACCTTAAAAGATCCCTTCCAACCCAAGCTATTCTAGAATTCTATGATCTTGCAAGTGCCATGCATTTACTTCAGTGTGCTTTATGGAAAGTCAACTGTCATGCTGCCTCATGACCCCAAGGTACACAACGTTGTCATGAGACTCAGCAGGCCACGCAAAGTTTTTCTGTAAGTGTCTGCTAACGGAGAACGTTATTCTGCTTCAGGATCAATACCGTGGAACCATTTGAGTGCTCCAACCTCAAGAAACTATCTCCAGTGTGGGCTAACCTGTTTCTCTGGTATGCCCCTCTCTTCAGTCAGGGGGGAGAGGTCTCAGTAAGAGTATGTTTATGCTAATGCACTGGATTTAGGTGCTTCAAGATTTAGATTGACATTGTGGGATATTTTTTTTTTTGGCATGTATCTTAAATTAGACTTTGTCTTGAATTGGGTCTGATTCTGATTCAAGCTTGGTTATGTCACTGGAGATACCGCTATTGAAAGCAGTAGATTACTGTGTTTCAGGGAGAAGGTTTTATTTTGTTACATAGAAGGAAGTTTCTTTTCAGCCTCAAGAGGTGCTAGAACAAATTTGCATTGCAGCAGGCTGTGTGGCGACACCAGTGCATTATAATAAGCATCAGTTCCCTTCTTTGTGGCTGTTGTCTCAATTTAGTGTGGCATTGTACAGAGGCAGCCTCTACCACTGGTATTTCTGTCATTGCTGCAATTTAAGCTCAACTAGAAAGAGACCCTCCTTCATGAATGTTTGTTTTACAAATTATATGAAAGTTAAACAAAATGTTTCTTAATGCTTTGCTACTCTGAGCAGTATAATTAGCTGCAGTATGTAAAAGTCTGTCCTTGACTTTCTCCTTTCTGCCTTTTGCAGCCAGCAAGGAGGGCCTTGTTCAAAAAGACTTCTAAGAGGATACTAAAAAATTTGCAAATTCTTATGGGTTGTTCCCCACACTTCAGAATACCCTTTCTTGGTTGTTAAATTGTCGTTTCAAAACCTATATGATGCATGAGCTGAAGCCTTTTTAGCTCTTATTCATTAAGGAGAGAAACCT